AATTGTATTTATTCAAATCAATTAAAACATGTTTCTTAAATTTAACTATGTAATAATATATATGCATGTAGTAAAATAATTTATAAAACAAACAAACTAGAGTTTTTTGAAAAGATAGAGAGAATTTTTATTGAAACTCAAATAAAGACAAAGATAAAAATTAAATAAATATTTTCATTTCATTTTATATTTATTTTGATTTGATTTCAATAAATTTTGTTGCAAATATTTATGAAAAAAAGATTATGAATCATTTTAATAAAACTAAGGAGATTATAAAAAAAAAAAAATCAATGGAAGGTGTGATGAGAGAAAATGTAAGAATTTGGTTAATGATAATGTAGTATTTTTAAAATGTTTGATTCTTAGAAATAATTGTAGTTTGTAGGATCTTCTCAATAAATATTATTTTTTTTAGGTCATTTTTTCTACTTTTTCTTAATTAATAATTCTTAATACTTATATTATGTCAATATATTTATATTTTTTCTTCTAGTTTTGATACCGACTAAAGGAGAATACTAGAAGGAGGAAAAAGTAGTATCAAATTAATACGATTCTTAATCGATTTGATTGAAATCAAAATGGTTAAAAACAAAAAAATTGATTAGGTCATTTGAAAAATTATACAAGAATGCAAAGAAACTAAATGAAAATTATTTCAATAATCTAAGAATGAAGAATAATCTTTTGCATAATCTAGGAGAAATTCTTATATACTTCTATAGTGTCACGTCATCCATACTCTCTCTAATGAAAATGTTCCTATAATTATTTTTTCATGAGTATTTGAAATTTCTAACATAAGAGGTCATGAAGAGAGAAAAAATAATCAAGCGACATCTGTGAGCTATGGGAACCAGGAAAAGATTACTAGAATATTTTCATCATAAAGAACATGCATGATGTGGTATTTTATGAACATATAAAAATTTCTCATAGTCTAATTATATATTTTGAGTGAGGCTATGTGAAGGAAGTTTTGTTCAATTTGATAATGAATAATTTGAAAGTGTTTTCAATATTAGTTGTTACAACTATAACCCTAATTTTGAAGTTAAATTTGATGAACCTTTCTCTCTTGAAAGAAAGGACAATCTAAAATAAATGTATATCTTTCCTTTTTTTATTCTTTCCGTATTTTTATTTTTTTATAATTTTTTATTTTAATACTTTTATCCTCCATTTCATGGTATGCAAAATTGTTGAAGGCTTCCCTTAACAGTTTGAACATCTTGACTCACGTCTTTCACAACTGAATACACAATCTCCTAATAAACTAATTGTTGATGCATCCAGTAATAAGCATACTGTATACTACTCAAAAAATAATTTAAGGTGATAGATGTACTAAAAGTTAATAAATTTATGATAGTAAATAGTAATAAAAAATGTTGTAAGTTGATGGATATGTTAAAATTAATAAATTTAGAATACTGGTGTTACTGAACAAATATTTAGGATGCTAAAAAGTAATGAATTTAGGATATAAATGCTTGGTGAAAAATATTTGAAGGATAGGATGTAACTTAACCCAAATCATAAAAAATCATAAAAAATAAAAAATTAATAAAATCATAAAAATCTCCTAATAAACTAATTTTTGATGCATCCTACTTTGTAGTAATAAACATACTGTATACAACTTAAAAAATAATCTAAGGTGCTGAAAAAATGTTGTAAGTTGATGATGTGCTAAAATTAATAAATTTAGAATACTGTTACTATTGAACAAATATTTAGGATACTAAAAACTAAAAAGTAATGAATTTAGGATGTAGGTGCTTGATGAAAAATATTGAAGGGTGAGATACAGCTTAACCCAAATCATAAAAAATAAAAAATGCGTACCTCATGCATCTTCTCATACGCCGTACCTGCTAAAGTGCTAATACATGCGGACCCATATATAACTTATAATTTTTAAAAAATAATTCTTGAAGAAAATAAAAGAATACAATAAAAAGTTTCTTCACTCAAAAAAATATATAATAAAAAGTTTATAAAATTTTGTACCTTTTACTCTAATTGTATTTTTTTTGGGTAATTTTTTTTGCATGTTACTTAAATTGTATTTGTAATTAATTAAATACATTAAACACAATGGACGAACAATTATTTTTATTGATTAAATACATTAAACACAATAGACGAATTATGAATGAAAAAAAGGGGAGCCGTCAAGAGTTAGGGCAACCTTGGAGCGTATTCTAAAGTTGCTATATAAGCCTTGCGTTAACCTGCCCGGCGCCTCCTCTCACTCTGGATCGTGGAAGCCGAAGACTTGGAGCTAAGGTCGATCTGAACTCACCGGCTTCTGCTCATCTTTTGGTACGTTCGACGTTTTGTCTCCTTTTCGTTGTTACATCCATTTTCCCGTGCCGGTGATATTTCCCTTCTCCTGTATTGAAGACTCAATTTTTTAGCTGATCTATTTGGGCTCTTTAAAGTCCAAACTCAGACATATTCTACAATGCAACTGCTCCATGGAATTGTTTTTTCCCCCTCGATCTCCTTCGTGTATTAGTTTTAGTGGATTTGCGTTAACATTGAGAATGTCAGTTGATTATTTTGAAGTTTTTACCCTTTTTTGTTTGCTCCCCAGTGTTTGAAAATTGAAGTGGTTTTAATGGGAGGCGTTTTATATTTTGTGGAAAAATTTAGAATAGAGTGACGATTTCACATTTTTCGTATTTATCATTTTGATTCCTCATCAGTGGTAGTTTGAGATAATTGTATGTTTATTTTTATACAATTGATGTGCATTGTTATAGTATTCAATGATAGGGCAATTGATATTTTTCTGTGGAAGTATTCAAGAATAGGGCTGAAATTCCCATTTTACATTTATCTTCTGATTCTTCGTTAGTGAAAGTTTTGCAATGAGGGTTCTGTTTGATTGACTCTTTTTGTGGTATCAGAATAGTCTATGTTTTGATTAATTCTTGCTTACCTAAGCTGAGGAACCCAATGCAGACTGTCCAGTGACCTGTAGCAGCAGTTAGTTCAAGTTTATTCTGTTTCTATTACCATGGTTAAAATCATGAAAATAAATTTACCTAATAAGCAATTGTTTTGGCATAAAACAGATTGGCCAAAATGTACACTTCAAGAAAGAAAATCCACAAGGATAATGATGCTGAACCCACTGAATTTGAGGAGACAGTTGCACAGTACCTATTTGATTTGGAGAACACCAATCAGGAGCTGAAAAGTGACCTGAAGGATCTCTACATAAATCAAGCTGTGTAAGCATGTTGCTATAATCACTTGTGTAAGTCTAATTTTTTTTATTTTTTATTTTGGTCACAACTCACAAGAGCAAACCATTATGCAGTCAAATGGATGTTGCTGGGAACCGCAAAGCTGTTGTTATCTATGTACCTTACAGATTGAGGAAGGCATTCCGCAAGATTCATCTCAGACTTGTTAGGGAATTGGAAAAGAAATTCAGTGGAAAGGTTGTTGTCCACAATGCTAAACAATGTTTAGGAATTCATGTGCTGTCAAGCATCTCTCTCTCTCTCTCTCTCTCTCTCTCTCTCTCTCTCTCTCTCTCTGTGTTTGTTGTTTATAATGCAATGTACTGTGCCTACTGTGTCCCATTACACTTGGCTGTTTGAAAGTTTTCATGGATAACTAGAGTGCGTTTGCTGAAAATCATGCTGAATTGCAGGATGTTGTCGTGATTGCTACGAGAAGGATTTTGCGGCCACCAAAGAAAGGTTCTGCTGTTCAGCGACCTCGCACCCGCACCCTAACAGCTGTCCATGATGCCATGCTGGAGGATGTTGTGCATCCTGCTGAGATTGTTGGCAAGCGAGTCAGATATAGGGTTGATGGATCAAAAATAATGAAGGTGAGTTCTTTTTAATGCATATTTTGTCCTGCTTCTCTTTATATTATAGTGATCTTCTAATATTCATTTATGATATTTTTAAACTCAGGTATTCCTGGACCCTAAGGAGCGCAATAATACTGAATACAAGCTAGGAACTTTTTCTGGAGTTTACAGGAAGCTTACTGGGAAAGATGTAGTATTTGATTATCCAATCACTGAAGCCTGAAATGCTTCTTCGTTTGATGGAGTCTGTATTTTAGTGCAGTGTTTTATTTCTAGCAATATTACGAGTTTTGTTTTATGCCGTTCGAAATTTTGATTTTTGGACTTGGATTTCTCCGTCATCACATTGAAACAAAGAGTATTTAGTGATGCGCCTGAATTTAAAATTGAATTCTTTTTTGGGTAATCTTCCTGCTTGATAGTATGTTATGCTGGTGGTCCTGGCAATTTCGGATTTTCAGACTCTTCTAATGTTTGTGCTTATTCAGAAGTTCTAAAACATCAAAATATTTTTCCTTTGTAGCTCCTATGAGCAGATAATAAAAAAAATCTCAGGTTTTCGTTTTCCTCTTTATTGAAAGAATTTAAATTTTGGAGTAAACAAGTTGTCACATAATGGCTGAGGGAAAGACAAAGTGGAAAGCTGCAGTGACAATGGGTCTTTTACATGCTCGTACTTTGTTGCAATATTACATATATTCAGTAATACTTTCCAACTACAATTTCATTGTGATTTGTTATAAATTCTATATTTCATATTAATATTGATATTATTGAGAGTAATATAAATTTCTGTGTTAAAAGGTTGTTTGGGTATTGTTGGCCAAAAAGGCGTATTATTTATCTTACAGGGGCATAAGAATCCCATGTTGCGAATGCACAGCTCATCATTATTTTGCAGAAATTACCATCCGACGCTGAAAAATTGTCTGGTAAAATCTATTTTCCCACAGGTGTCAGCATTAAGATTTGAAAATCACAGTTCGTGTTGTTTACATGCAACGAGTACTAGAGTATGTGGCATGTCATATTTTTAATCTAATGATTGTAGGTCCAAAGTGGCGTCCGCTTAGGCCTTTTCTCATACCTGGAGCTTCACCATTACTATACAGCATGTTTGGCCCGTTGATCTGTGAAGTTATTCGATAGAAAACTATAAACATAACTAGATCAGTTTAATCCAACACTTTCCAGAAAAAAAATATGAACAAACAAGTTCAATGGAAGTATACATATGAAGATATTGGCTATATGCTATCTTTTATTGGAAACTAACCAATTTTTTTCCCAATATACTACTACATTACTATGTTGTGATCACAGTGCCTTTTCCTGTATACTCTTGTCACTCTGAAAAACCAAACTCAGAATTCCAGACTTGGCTGACAGAAGGCTTTCCTAAGCCTCGGAAGCTTCAAAGAATTCACCATTAACCCCAGCCCTATACAGAATCAAGTCTGATGCTTCACTTATACAAACTACGGTGTTTGCAGCAGCAAAAATGACATCTCCTTCGGCAGCAATATAGACTCTGAGTGATCCTCCAACTTTTATAATCGCTTCCCCATCAACGACCAGAAAGATGGAAGGACCTGGGACTGCTGGGAAGGTCACTGATTCACCTTGAGGGACAACACAGCGATCAATCTCAAATTCATCGAATGGTGGGAGGTACCTTGTTACATGTGAATTTATGGGAATTCCTCGCAGGATCTCAGGGGGCCCCTGCAAGAGAAGATGGCTTCAGATCCTTTAGTCTTACATATTCATGCCATTGCCATTACTACAGGTCAATCCATTCCTCAAAAAGTCAAACCTATCACATGATTGATGTTCCTGTTTCTTCCCCTTCCCGTCAAAGGAAGGAAGACGCATCACTTTTCCATTATTCTATTCTATCATGAAAAATCATGGGGAAAAAAAAATTAAAACAAAACAAAATGGCAGTCTCCACATGCTAGAGCATTCATCATGTATCACTTACCTGCTTGTATGTGAGCATGGAACAAAGAGTCTGGACATCTCTGTGTTTAGGAGTAAGGCCAGCTCGCACGACATTGTCTGAAGTTGCCATGCATTCGATGCACTCACCACTTATATAAGCATGTGGCTCATTTGGCCCAAGGCTCAGGGCTTCACCGGGATTGAGTTTCATGTAGTTCAGTAAGAAGGCTGCTATGACACCAATATCACTAGGATACTGCTTTTCTAACCTCAGCGCTAGTTTCTCCTTATCTGTCAACTCCCTCACCTGATTAAAAGTGAAACCGTTATTATTTATATATATATATATTTATATATACTGAATTGATTTTGAGGAACAATAACATGAAGTGAAAAATAAATTTGCTTTTTAAGAAGTCATTGCAACTCGGACTGATGGATAGACTGATGGATATCGAAGGGTAGCTACAATAGTAAACAATTCAAAGGGGAAATAAACATAACAATGATCAGACGACTTTCAAAAGTAATCACCCAACCTGACTTTCTTTGATCAGACGACTTATCAATCTGCCTACTGATTCAGTGACTTCCTTTTTATCTGCGAACATGAGCCGGGTAAACACTGCCGCCAATTCACGTTTTATAGTCTCTTCGTTATCTTGATCAGTGAGTCCAAAGATTGGTAATGCATCTCCAAAGCCAACCAGTTCCATAACCTCAGGTACAGTACGAATCACAACCTTCAGCTCCTGAGTAAAAATAACACCGAAGATTGCTTACTTGGTTCACTGATGACAATGCTCCAAAGACAATAAAACAACATTTTTTTATTTGCATCTACCAAAAGGCCAGGTCCAGACATCGTGGAAACTCTTCGAATTACACAAAAAGCTCTGAATATGTAGTAAGATCAAAGCATATGTATTACAAACTTTTTGAGTCATAAGTTAGATGAAGTATTATATATGCGAATATTCCAGAGGATAGCAGATTCCATAAGCTTTCAGAACAATTAAAAAAAAAAAAGTATAATTCACTGAAAGGAGAAAGAGAAGAAGACAAAAAGCATTGGCTTCTCTTCTGTAATTCTATAGTCATATATGAATAACATTTAAAATTCATGGAGCTCGAGTTTTGCTAATGTTTGAAACAAAAAATTTTCAACTCGCGTTTGAAAATGATGCTTCATGAACAGCCTAATATGTCAACTTTCGGAATCATTTTTCAACCAATAACACATATTTTTCTGAAAAAAATTAACTTCCGCGAACCCAACCCCATATCATATTACGGGCTCTAAATTGACTACTGTAAGAACAATAAAGCTTGGAAAGTGATTAACTCAAAACTCGTCAAGTGTAGTCAGATTGTAACTGAAGGTTTTGAATCTCAGACAATCAATAGTAGCTTAGACCTGCATGCTGATCTCAACGATTTGTATATGCAAGCGAGTTTTAAAAAAAATTAAAATAACAGCGGCAAAGCAATATCGTTTACTCCCTAATTTGTATATTATAAACGATTGTCATTGATCTTTTCACATGATTCTCCTCATCATTAATTGGCCATCACTGGTACGCTCAGATAGAATCCTGTGAACAAGGAGTTACGAGATTAAATTGACTGTGAAAATCACAGAATGGTCCAAATTAAAATTTTATTAATTAAATCCTCTAAAATAATTTAAAATCAAAATTTTAATATCTGTTTTTAATTTTCTAATGTGATAAAGTCAACTGTGATTTTCTTTGGCTTAAAAAAGAAAAAGAAAACCGTAAATTCCGCAAAAAATATGTTAAAAAAAAAAAAACTTCTGTAACAACATTACGGAAGTCTACCCAACAAGGGAGTTATTTTTCCAAAAAAGCAAAAACTGAAGTGCAAAACTACCGAATTTAAAAATGGATGATTAATCACCCAAAAACACAGAAGATTAAAATATTAATTTCTTAATAAATCCAAGCAGACTTTAAATTTTCCAATCACCATCAATAGCGATACTTTCTGACTTCTGAGAAAAGGCTCAAGATATTCCGACTCACTTATCTTATAGTTCATATGAAGGAATTAAGGATCAAAACATAAGAAAACAAATTTCTCCGACAAACAGATAAAGAATTGTTTATGACAGCGTCACTGAATAACATATCAGTTTAATTTCCCCTGATACCCAAACTCAATGAAAGTAAAATAAAAGATTTGACGAAATACAATGAGTACCTCCAGAGAGATAACCCACACAGAGCTTCAAACTCGGTCATTGCCAAAGCCATCTCAGGTTTGTGATTCCCGTCCTTATACAGATCAGGATACAATTTATGCAAAGTTCTGGCTAACTCTTTATCTGGATGAGCCTGTATGGACAACGCCTTTGCCACCGAGAGTACCTAAAACACAAAGAACCACCACAAGAAGTTCACAATTCAATACCATTCTTTTTATTTCATATCTAGACCTCGAATTGGAGTTATCATATATACCTTGAACAGAAAGGGAGATCACAGCCCCATTTTCCAAGAACCTTCTCGCCAAGAGCATTAGGATTCTTCGACAGCCACGACTTAAGGGTCATATTTTCATCACCAGAGAGCAGAAAGATGGGCCAGAGTCATGCGTACCCATCCAAAACTCAGCGTAAGGCTTGTCGGGTTCGGTTCGGATCCGGAATTCAGCGAAAGAGCCTTGCGACTTGAGAGTCTCCGGCCAGTCGGCCCCAATCGTAGTTCTTAACGGAGCATCGGAGCATCAGAAGCTTATCCTCCGTTTCCATTATTGCGAGAACAGAAACTTCCACACGGAATTGCAAGGAAGTGAGGAATCGAACTTAAGTGAGGGAATGGAGAAAAGGGAAGTGAATGCGAATTGCGAAGGTGGGTATGTGACCGTCCCCGCTTATGCTTGCTGCTATTTGAAGCGTTTGGGATGGCACCTCCAGGACAGAGAGGAAGACGAAGAGAGAGAGAGAGATAACGACGAGTAAGGAGACGTTAGAGAGAGAAAAAGAGAGGCAAGTGGGGTATGATTCTGTTTTTGCAGTTTCGTTTCTTATCCTCAAGCGAGTCGTTCTCGAAGAGCACGAAATTTCTCAATCTGGAAGGAAACTCAAGTTTTCATACTTTTTTAAAGCAGAGAAACTCATTTTTCTTCCATACGGCTGTAATAAATAACGAAAATTTATATATAATAATACTCCTCCGGTCCTTATTATAAGACCCAATTTGACTTTTTTTTGGAACTAAATTATAAGACCCAATCCATTTTCCTCTTATATTTATGTATTTTTTTTCAAGATAA